TACCCCACAGGGTGGGAAAGACGCCCCTGGGGTTGGGGAAGATGCCCCCTGCACTATAAGTGACATAAATGGGCACGTGAATCGCCTGAACGAATCAGTAGACCCTTCGAGCTTGCAATAGACACTAAATGTCATCGTAAGGGCCCTCAAAAGTAGTCGTAAGGGGCTTCAGAGGTCATCGTTAGGGCCATCATAGTTCAGCGTGGCCAAACTAGCCTCCGTGGTGGCGTTCGGAGACCGCTGTGGGGCCCTTATAGGTCTTCATAATATCTTGAGGGCCCTCGAGCCCATCGTGGTGGGGACCTCAGATGCCAGCGCGGCCCGTGGAGCCAACATGGGAGCCCTCAAAGGATGTCGTGAGGGTCCTTGGAGCCAATAATGGGGCCCACAGAGGCCGTCGTGAGGGCTCTCAGAGCTAGATGCCGCCCAAAAAGTCGCTGTGTGGGCCGAGAGACCGGCATGGGTAGCACCCGACCGTACTGGACTCTCAATAGTCCCAGATCGGCTTTTGTCTCTCATCACAAGTATGTAATAGATGATTTGACGGGTTCCTTGAAGGCCAGCCTACGGATTTAGGGGGGGGGGGCGTCTTTCCCCATCACGGCTGGGGGCATCTTACCCCAAGGTACCGAATTAACATTGAATCAGTACAATTTGTTAGCCATAAAACTACACCCTGAAACAAACTGTTTGGGACACAGTACACGCATGTTAATGTATCACGACCATAGCAAGGGACATAAAAATGATTTACCTTCTTTGATATTTACAATGTTTTGACACCAAAATATTTTTTGAAAGCAGCAAATAAAAAACATGCGGTCACCAGCCAGCCGTTGTCCAATTGAGCTTCGCAAATTTTTGTGCAGTTAACAAGGCAGTCTTCCACTTTACGCTAAGAACATTAACCCGCACCCCACTGGGGGGGGGGGGCTATTTATAGCCCCCCCTCCCGTTTTTCTGCAATAACTTCCAAACCGCTTGACGTATCGACACCAAACTTTCAGTTCCTTCGGCTGCATCAACACCTTGTGTCAAAATTTGAACTTCTTAGCTACCATAGGTCGGCTGGAAATGACGTCAGAGTGACGTCATCTTCGGCCGATTTCGACGCAAAACATCTAACCACGGCAATCGCTCCCAAGGGCTCAGTTTTTAAGCTAGATCCAATTTCTTTGCATGAGAGGACTCAGAATAGACAGCGCTATCAAACTGCTATCTCGAATTTTCGAAATTTTGAAAATTTTGAAAATTTTATATAATAAAATTCAAAATTTATATTTTTACATTTTTTTTCCAAAAGTTTTTGACATTTCAAAAAAAACCGGAAAATATGTGATAGAACGCGTTATTATGACTAACTCTAGCAAGTTTTGGCTAAATATCTTCAAAAAATGGCCAAGTTATACGCATTATTGCAAAAAATTCACAATTATTAATTTTTCAAATCAATTTTTCACCACGCATTTGACATCGTACGCCAATATAAATAGCACCATCGTGTTCCTGAGCTCAAACTGCATTCAATAGACACCTTTTCTGTTGAAAAATTATAACTTCAAAATTTGACCTTTTTTGACCTGAAAAAAAAAGAGAAAAGAGAGACAAAAGCCGATCTGGGACTATTGAGAGTCCAGTACGGTCGGGTGCTACCCATGCCGGTCTCTCGGCCCACACAGCGACTTTTTGGGCGGCATCTGGCTCTGAGAGCCCTAGGCTAAATTCGACTCAAAATGACCTCGAATGACACAGACGACATCAAATTCGAAATCTTTGGCCTAAATGGACCATAAAACATGTGTCACGTGACCGACGCATGATATAATATTTTCGTGACCTGTGATGACCTGACCTTGACCTGAAAATCAAAGTACAAGTTTGGTACCCCCAGGGTATCTAGAGCATCTGTTCACGAGTGTGTGAACAAAAAATGAGCCTGATCTGACTTGTAAGACGGCGGCAAGAGCCCAAAACGTGAACAAGCCAAAATGCTAATAATTTTTACTTTGACCTGACCTGTGACGTCATCGGTGACCTCGAGGTCAATGAAATTAGGTTTCGTTCGACAGTTTTTCCGGGGCTATCAGACGCCGTTTGAATTTTGACGATCGGCCCAGTAGTTTCGGAGTTAGGAGGGGGGGGCTATGAATAGCCCCCCCCCCCCCCAGTAGGGCGTGTTATACGCAGACCCCAGTGGGGCGCGGGTTAATTTCCAGGTTCGATTCATTGTTTCGCCCCTGGGGGGGGGGGTGGGGGTGGGGTGGGTGGGGCGTCTTTCCCACCCTGGGCATCTTACCCCACTCTCCCCTATTCATTATGCGACGTAACATGTTGAAATTAATTTACGTATCATGGAAATGTGTAATTGTGTAGGCACTCGTCTGGCTTTAAGACATTCTCCTCCGAACTGGGCCGGTATTTTGAGCAGAAAACTCATCCAACAGGACCATTTATAACGCCTATCTGGATTTATGTAGAACCACAAGCGGTTTACCGACGCACATCGCCCTAATGCATAATGCATTCTTATCTCACCCGGGAATCCGGTTGCGCCTTACGGTGACATTTTTGCGCCCTCATTGCACACGGTGCGCCTCAAATCGACTGCACTCTCAGTCGACTGTCATCGAGATATTGCACACAAAAGTGCGCTTTGACTGAACAAAAATTAAAAAGACCAATAGTTCTTAAACTTTGCATGACATGAGCCTGAAAATGCCGGAAACATATAAATCGAAGTGGTAGCATGACACTGGGTGCATTGGACACTTGATATCAACATCTTATGCTTTGGTATTCAATAACATTCATTCCCACTTCAATCTGCACATTTCGTCGACTGAATGCACCGTGAGTCGACATTATGTAATTTGCTATAATGCCAGTGGACATTTTAAAATATCATTTATTTCGAAAAATAAAAATAATTCACTGCATTCTTGCATATGAATGTGATGCTCGAGGTCTGTTTTGTCTAGTTTTATTCGGAGCATCGTATTTTCCATCGCCTTTAAGTGCAATAGGCATTTAAAGAAAATTTGCGTCAACTATCCGCACAGGGCGATGTCGGTGAATCAAAGTTTCACTTGACATTTTAGCCAAAATCGAGTGCAAATTTTTTTAGAAAAACACTGTATATAGATGAAAGGGTGTGCTAGTATTGTGCGCAGTGTTGAAAAATGTTGGAAAATACCCGACTTATTGTTAAATACATCTTATTTCATTTAAAATACCATTTTAAAGAAATTCTTCCAGTAGAATTATGGCGCAGTTTTGAATTTTGCGCTCTAGATCGTCACAAAATTGTCAGATATCAGCGCAATGGGCCGTAAAATGACATTTTACTGTTAGATAAGGGCGCATAAAGGAAAAAATGTCGTATTTAAGTTCATTATATGAAAAAAAAACTTCATGACCATAAGGAGTAGGACCGATCGCTCAGCCGGCCCTGAGGGACGTCTGAGGGCCCCGTAGGTCCGATGAGGGCCCTTCAGATAGATCGGATGACGGCTTACAGTCCATGAGAGTCTTGTAAGCCGTCTAAGGGCCACCCAGGCCGACAAGAGGCCCCCTCGCACTTGCAGAGGGCCCTGTCGGACCGACGAAAGACCATCTCAGACAAACGAAGGGCCCTTTCAGATCATTTGAGGGCCTCCTCAAACCTATAGGGGCCCCTCAGATCGATAGTGGAGCCGATCTGAGGTCTCCAAACCGACATGGGGTCAGACCAACAGTCAGAAACCAACTGACCAACAGACGACCCCTCAAATGAACAGAGGAGGTCGATGGAGGGCCCCATGGACCGGCAGGGCCCTCAGAATAGCAGAGGGCCTCCCCCAGGTCGGGAGAGGTCCCCTGAGACTGACAGAGGGCCCCTCAAATCGATGAAGGATCTCAAGTGGGAAAAAGCCCCTCCAGTGGACAGAGGCCCTTGGACGAACAAAGGGCCCCTCAGGCCGATCGAGGATCCCTCTCCCTCAGACAGACAGAAGGCCCTCTGGGTCCAAAAGAGGGTCCCTCATCCAAATAGCGGGTCTTTTAAACCAACAGAGGGCCCTTCAGATGTTCTACAATAAAATATGCTTATTTACACATTGATTTTGTGTTGGACCAATCCACACACCGCTGGACCCATCCAATCCACCTGGCCCCCTGGATTCAATAGGCCCCAAAGCTCTTAAATTGGGGCCCCCTTGGTCAAATTCTGGCCACGCAACTGCGTCAAATGATCTGTGGCAGGAGCCTTTGCGTCGCCAAGACCCCGCTTTGTCAACCAGGGACCCCAATGGCATAGGGGCCCCGGGCTGGGCCCTGGCCCCAACTGGAATAGGGGCCCCTGGACCTCCAGGGGGCATGGCTCCTTTGTCCCCCTCTGGCTACGCCACTGTGGGAGGGGGCCATGTGCTCAGAGCTCCGGGGTAAAATCCAAACGATTCTGTCGGATGTTGCTAGTCGAACGATGTGAAAGGTTAACTTCTTAGACCACACCTTGGCCTTGCGAGGTCAGGTCAAAGCAAAATTTTTGCTGCTTTTTTTTGCCGCGATCAAGGAATATCGTGTGCTATGTGCGATGCATCGTTGGTGCTGACATTTTGTTATGCGAAATCGGTTGGAGGTGATTGGTGCGGTTCTAGCGACACAAATGACAAGTTTGCACTTCTCGGGGTCAACTCAGGTCAACTCAAGTCAAGTTAACATGGGCTGTTTTCATCCGATACCGCACTTAAAATTGTGTGTGTGTTTGTGTGTATGTATGTTAACCCGTATGTATGTGTGTGGGGTTGGCGTATGAGGTGTGGGGGTCGTTGGGTAGAGGGGTCAGGGGTTAGGGAGTCATGGAAGTACATCATCAGTTAGAAGGCATTTACTTATGCATTTACCGCGGCACACGATAGGGAAAGCTACGATAACTTAAAATCATAATTTCTCACTTCTGAATAAAAAAAAAAATCCTGCCACCACCAGGTGTAAACTCGCATTCCTCTTCAAACACAGTTAAATGCCATTCAGTTTCACGTGATATATTTGCACGCAATTTTTCGGGCGGATTCTGAGCTTTTTACTAGTTTTTTTTTCATCATTAAACCATAGACATGGTACAGGACATTAACACAGGATAGAAAAACACGTGGTACGCCCTTCCCCCAGAGCAGCAGTCCTTACAAACTGAACTGAACACACAACGCATCGAACCGTATGCCGCTCCCGCCGGCACCGGCCACTCTAAATCAGCCCGTCCGTGTCACACGTCAATTACGTCACTATGCTTTAGCTCTCGCAAGCCACACGGTGACAACGCAAGTTCGACGATTACGCAGTGACGGTAACACCTTCTGCCAAACGAGCGAGCGTTGACCGTCGCCTCCTTCGTAAGTACTGTCTACAGCACGCGCCTCCTAGCACGCTTACTCCTGCCACTCGAATCCATGTCCCGATCAAACGAGCTCGTCACGCTGGCTCGTCGCGTCCCACTCTGCAGCAAGCTCTGCCTCCCGCACACTCACGAAACGCTCAAACTCGAGCAGCGCAATGACCACTGACTTGACAGTGGCAGTGTGATGCGGGACCTTCTTGAGAAGAACCTTCTCGATGTCGTCCAATCTCTTTCTCATGATTTCAGATGGTCCAGTTGTGTCACATACCTCGTTGAATAATGAATAGCGACCTCAGCTGCCGCTCCTGCCGAAGGGCCGTCGTGTTGGCTTCCGCCTCCATCCTTTCTTAGAATGGGAGAAGAGGCTGATCAGATCCTCTTCCTTCCACGCACTGTTCCTCGCACCATCACTGGCGCAGAGACCGTCGAGCAACATCGACTCTAGGGCGTCGGCGACCGCTGCATCTTTCATCTGGCCGCGAGCGGAGCGGTCTGCTACACCGTGGCTTCGCTTGAGATGCAGTTGCAGGTGCCGCACGCGAGCACCACACTGGTGGCATGTCAGGATCTTCGGCATCGCAAGTTTCCTGGAAGGAAAGACAGAAATAAAGGACGCTTCAAGTTGACTAAACGCAAGAGCAGGGGCATAAAACGGTTGAGTACAGACCTTCAGTGTTGTAACTGATCTTAGAGCATATCCACTTTACGGCGCTGCGCCGACAAATTTATTATAGCTGTTTTGATATGCATTCGCAATTTGTGCATATTTTTTTAAGGTCAGGGCACCATGTCATGTTAACCGACCTCACCGCGAAACACGCTTTTCTTAAATTGGCAGCTGCGCCAGGACCAGACCTATGGATAGAGGATCTTGAAATTTACCGAGACTGGGAAGCACATCAACAGTTACAACATGCATATGTCATACTTTCTATATCATTGACATTTTTCCACAGAGGCTCCATATAGAGATAATCAAAGGTCATACGGTATAATTTAAGGTCGTAAGTAATTTTTCACCGATAACCTGTGAAGGAAACGAAGTATAGTACTTAAGAGAACAAGACGCAGTGGGCGAGATGGAAAGAAAAAGTGGAGGGGAGAGAGGGGCTGACAGAGTGGGAGGGGAGTGGGAGGGCTCACCGAGTGGTAGGGGAGGAAGGGGCAGACAGTGAGCGAAGGGAGCGGCTGGCAATTGGAGGGGAGAAGGGGATTGGCAGAGTGTGAGGGAGAGAGGTTGACAGAGTGGGAGGAAGAGAAGCTGTCAGTGAGGGGGGAGGCAGGAGCTGACAGAGTGGGAGGGAGAGGGGCTGACAGAGTGGGAGGGGGAGGGGCTGACAGTGGGAGAGGTAGGAGCTGACAGTGGGGGAGGGAGGAGCTGACAGAGTGGAGGGAGAGGGGCTGACAGTGGGGGAGGGAGGAGCTGACAGAGTGGAGGGAGAGGGGCTGACAGAGTGGGAGGGGGAGGGGCTGACAGTGGGAGAGGTAGGAGCTGACAGTGGGGGAGGGAGGAGCTGACAGAGTGGAGGGAGAGGGGCTGACAGTGGGGGAGGGAGGAGCTGACAGAGTGGAGGGAGAGGGGCTGACAGAGTGGGAGGGGGAGGGGCTGACAGTGGGAGAGGTAGGAGCTGACAGTGGGGGAGGGAGGAGCTGACAGAGTGGAGGGAGAGGGGCTGACAGTGGGGGAGGGAGGAGCTGACAGAGTGGGAGGGAGAGGGGCTGACAGAGTGAGAGAGACAGGGGCTGGCAGAGTGGGAGAGGAGGGCGGGGCTGACAGTGGGGGAGGGGGAAGGGCTGGGAGTGTGAGGTTACAGAGAAGCTGACAGAGTAGGAGGGAGAGGGGCTGACAGTGGGTGAAGGAGGAGCTGACAGAGTGGGGGAGAGAGGGGATGACATTGGGGAGGGGAGGGCGGGACTGACAGAGTGACAGAGTGGGATTGGCCAGAAGGGCTGACATAATGGGATGGGAGGTGCAGACAGAGTGGGAGGGGAGGAAAATGAATGAGAGGGGAAGGGGGCAACAAAGTGGTAGTTGAGGTATGGGCTGACAGAGTGGGGGAGAGAGTAGCTGACAGAGTGGGAGGGAGAGGGGCTGACAGTGGGGGAGGGGGAGGGGCTGGCAGAAAGGGAGGGGACAGAGGGGCTGACAGAGTGGGAGGGAGACGGGCTGACAGAGTGGGAATGTGAGGGGAGGGAGGAGCTGACAGAGTGGCAGAGAGAGGGGCTGACAGTGGGGGAGGGAGGAGCTGACAGAGTGGGAGAGGAGGGCAGGGCTGACAGTGGGGGAGGGGGAGGGGCTGGGAGTGTGAGGCTACAGAGGTGCTGACAGAGTGGGAGTGGAGGGCTGACAGACAGAGTGGGAGGGAGAAGAGCTGACAGAGTGGGAGGGAGAGGGGCTGACAGTGGGGGAGGGAGGAGCTGACAGAGTGGGAGGGAGGAGCTGACAAAATGGAGGGAGAGGGGCTGAGAGTGTGGGAGAGAGAGGGGCTGACAGTGGGGGAGGGAGAGGGGCGGGACTGACAGAGTGACAGAGTGGGATTGGCCAGAAGGGCTGACATAATGGGATGGGAGGTGCAGACAGAGTGGGAGGGGAGGAAAATGAATGAGAGGGGAAAGGGCCAACAAAGTGGGAGTTAAGGTATGGGCTGACAGAGTGAGAGTGGGAATGGGCTGACAGTGTCGGAGGGGGGGATGCTTACAGTGTGGGAGGAGGAGGGTCTGGCAGAAAGGGAGGGGAAAGAGAGGCTGACAGAGTAAGAGAGGAGGCAGGGGCTGACAGAATGAGAGGGAGAGGGGCTGACAGAGTGGGAGTAAGAGGGACTGACAGTGGGGGAGGGAGAGGGGCTGAAAGTGGGGGAAGGAGGAGCTGACAGAGTGGGAGGGAGAGGGGCTGACAGAGTGGAGGGAGAGGAGCTGACAGAGTGGGAGAGAGAGGGGCTGACAGTGGGGGAGGGAGGAGCTGACAGAGTGGGAGGGAGGAGCTGACAAAATGGAGGGAGAGGGGCTGAGAGTGTGGGAGGGAGAGGAGCTGACAGAGTGGGAGAGAGAGGGCTGACAGTGGGGGAGGGAGGAGCTGACAGAGTGGGAGAGAGAGGGGCTGACAGAGTGGGAGAGAGAGGGGCTGACAGAGTAGGAGAGGAGGGCAGGGCTGACAGTGGGGGAAGGGGAGGGGCTGGGAGTGTGAGGTTACAGAGCAGCTGACAGAGTGGGAGGGAGGTCAGGTCATGAAACAGGATTGAGTAATACATACCTTGAGATTATATCGCTGACCCAAAGAACGCCTGTCGCCCATACACTGACACAACCAAGGCCATGTACCCACACAACAGAACCTTCTAAGCAAGGAGACGCTACAACGACCTGCGCCACGGAACGATCATCTGCGCCAGACCGGCCGCGCCATCACGCGGCCGGCGAACGCTGCCCGACATGGACTCTGTGCCCATATGGACGGCATGAAGGAATAACTTCAAGCATACAAAGAAACACAATGTCGGTCAAATGTGCAGTTCCAAAGTGCACCCTCATTAAGTTTTCCGAAATCGACAGACTGCTCCTAGTATCGACATAGCATGTCGAGTTAAAGTGCATGACTGTGCAGTTTCCCCCCAAAAAGTGGAGAAATATGTCCCGACGCCAAAACATCTCACGTTAAGACTATTCATTGTTTGTTATAACTGCATGCAATTAAATAATTCTACGTCAATTCTGTATACACTCACTATCGAAAAAATGTTTTAGCGCCACTATGAAACGAATCACAGCTAAAAACTCTTAGCTTTTTTTAAGTGCAGTTCGTCGGGTTGAAGCGCACTCATACGTCACAGGTCACGTGACTGCGCTTATAACCGATTCCGGCGTCCAGGGAGCGAAGCCGACCTTGTGCTAGTATTATATCACATCGGGACTGACGGATCGTCCGCCACAATACGAGCGTCTCTTCATAGGCCTGGATTACACCCGGGATCCCCTGGAATTACTGGAGACGGCCGCACAATGGAGTTCCAGTGGTGCTGCTATTGTTGTAAGTACTACGGGGTGTGACGGTATTTTCGCCGCTTTGTGCCTATCATATAAAATGTCAATAATCTATTGTGATAAAGTCGTGGAAGGAAAGCTCTGCGAGCCACCACTGCCAGCTTGAGTTCACCAGTCCAAACAAAGCGCGTGGCACCAGTACCAACCACCTCTCGCACTGAGTCGCCCGACCAGCCGGCAGAAATCAACTCGGAACGGTCCTTAGTCTGGCTCGGATTGTTGAACAATAGCTACCTCTGCCGGCAGGGGACCTCGCCTACAGTCCTTCACACGCGTATACGCAGCAGCCTATGCAGATCCGTGCACCGAGCACCAACAGTATCTCTGTCCTTGATCGGGCGCGCACAGTTCTCTCGCCGGCCTGTTTACCTTCTGGTATTTACGAGCCATCAGCGAGGGTGTTTTCCGTCACAGTAACTCTCCCTAACGGCTCTCAGTCGACTGCACTGTGTGACCAGCTGCCACCGTCACGTCGTCATAATGCCGCACTGTCACAGCCAATGAAACAAATGGTGCAATAATATTGCAACACGGAATATTGCAAGGGCACGTTCGGTCGGCGGCCTATTACGCCAGATAGGGTCATGTGGGCTTTATTTGATCGTGCTGATTGAGTTCACCCATGGCTGCTATGAGCGAGCAGTTTAGAGCGTGATATTTATGGCATTGAGACCGACACGTCGGCCGTATTGACTGGTAGACCAGTGCCGGTTCATAACGCTGCTACGTGTCTTATTGGGGAATGGGTTGCAGCGGTTATTGATCTGAGCTGCAAAAGTGATAGCTGCGGGGCTCGGCGACTCGCATCTGAGTGCCGAGCTTTAGGGCGGCCCGTCGGGAAGTTTTCATGGTTATCAAATATTTTGCAGCCATGGCGCATCGTGTAGCTGCCGTGCTCTACACAGCAATATATATTTTAAGCTCTGGCTCCCAAATGCGTCAATGCATATTTATTCCCCAAAATTTACGATCCAGTACCTATATCGTGGAACCTTGTGAAGGGTTGGACTCTTTAGTGCTAATGGAGGGTTGGATGAAAGCTGCCAAGTCACACTATTCACTATATTCAGCCCATGTGACCTCTTAAGAACACCTTATTTCTGTTGAAACGAATAAAAACGAGGAAAACATGATTTTACACTATTAAGTGCATATAATCTCTTTTAGAACGTACCAAGTGTTATAAATAAGAGATTGTGGTGATAGGATTCGATTCACCGGAAGCCACCCTGGTGAACGTGTAAAACACTCGAGGAGTTGAGAAACTTGGATACGGTTAGGGAATAAAAATGTGATTAAATATACCGCAGAAATGTCTCGTTCACAAACAGGCCAACCGCATAAGAGGCGATTGCTTCCAATATCCAGCCATCCCAATCCGGACCAGAAAACTCGAAATCGTACCTGATTCTGCCTCGTTATCCAGATAACTTATCTGCCTAAATAAATGGGGCATTTCATAAGACATTACGTAGCTTGAAAGTCACTACGCAACATAAGCATTCACCTTCACATGTTTTCGGTGGTAAAGACCATGCTTTTATCGGCAGCCCGCGGAATGCATGCAGCATAGGCCGAGTGAAGCCGTAAACTAGGTTACAAGTTACAACACAAGCTACTCAGTTGATCAGTTCATGAACCCACTCCCCACTCCCAGGTGACGGGTGACCGGTCCCCCACGGAATCCTTACTTGACTGGCAGTGGCGGCAGCGCCAGGGCGGCAGGCGGCGATGTCGGCGGCGGCGGCGGCGGCGGCGGTGGCGGGGTCGACCCCCGCCTCTGTTTCGGCGGCGTTGCCGGTCGCGGCGGAGGGGGAGACACTCGCGGCGGCGGAGGGGTCGGCGGCGGCGGCGGTACGGCGTCCTCGTTGAGCCGCATGGTCGCCTCTGTGTTGTCACTGGAGGCCGTGTCCAGGCTGTCCACACTGGGCGTCTGAGCGGTGTCCGAGCCGGCCGAGGGCGCCGCCAGCTCCTCCAGGTCCGAGTCAATTCCCTTGTCAAGCTGCACGTAATAGCCATCACCGGACTGGTCGCCGCGGCTGCCCCGGCGCGGCAGCCGCGAGCTCACGTCGACCGCGTACTCCTCCTCCGGAGCGGCCATCGCACGCGACTGGCTCGTCTCGTGGCGGCAGCTGCCGCCGAGCCGCTCCCCACACTCCCCTCCCCGCGCAGACGCGTCGAGCGGCTCGCGCGGTGCGGCCGCTCTCCCCCGGCTCTGCCCGCCACACCAGGGCGGCCTCCCTATGCTCGCTGGCTCCCATCCGGCGAACGGGAAATGAGCCGGGTGACGGACGCCACAGGCCAATAACCCGCTGCCGCCCTGCCATCTGCCGGCCCGGGCGGGAACTAGCCCGGTGAATGGGTCCAGCTCGCTCACGTGAATGGGGAGGGCGCCGTGTGCGTTTTGTGGTCGTGAGAACCGCCACTCAGCGGGACAGAAGTCAGAGGTCATTCGACACGAGCCAGACTGTGTGGACATACTGACGGACAGAAGTCGCCCCGCCGCGCTGATAAGGGGCTATCGAAGAGGCGAATGTGTGATAGATAACACCACAATGACTTCTTGTATTCGTCGAAGTAAATATCAGAACAGCGTATGTCCCGGTGTTACATGTTTGCCATTGTGTATTCGCATCTCTATTGTAGTGTATTACCTGTGCCTCTTTCAAATGAACCAGACTGCTGGTCGCGCCTTTGCCACCTGGCTGTATGTTTTAGGCCCGTATAAAACAATCGCCATTTTTGTCCGACTCAGGTAGGTTGGTGTCATTACCACTGCAAATTATGCTCGGACTGATTTTCGGTGTAAGTTGTATGTAACAACAGGAGAAGACGTGATGGACTTTCCGATTTTTCCGATATTTGACCTAAGTCGAATCCTATCGTGTAGATAAACCTCGGGTAGGGTTAGCCTACATGCGCAAAAACCGTCCAAATAAAAATATTTTGAGAATATTGTTCTTTCTGCAATAACTTGAACTCAATCGATGCACCGCGCCCTACTGGGGGGGGGGGGGGGGCTATTCATAGCCCCTCCCGGTTTTCTGCAATAACTTCTAAACTGCTTCAGCTATCGCCGCGAAACTTTCAGTACCTTCGGCTGCATCAATTTCACACCTTGTGTCAAAATTTGGACTTCGTATCTTTCATAAGTCGGCCGGAAATGACGTCAGAGTGACGTCATGTTCGGCCGATTTCGACGCAAAACATTGAACCACGGGAATCGCTCCCAACTCGAGCTCAGTTTTTGAGCTAGACCCAATTTCTTTGCATTAGAGGACTTAGAATGGACTGCGGCTGCGCTATCAAATTGCTACCTATCTCAACTTTTCAAAATTCTGATAATTTTAAAATTATTTATATCAAAATTTAAAATTTGGTATTTTTTTTCAAAAACTTTTTGACTTTTCGAAAAGACGGAATATATATGATAGAACACATGCTTATGACTTACTCTAGCAAGTTTTAGGCAGATATCTTCAAAAAATGGCCAAGTTATACGCATTATAGCAAAAATTTCACAATCTAAAAATGTTTCAAACCAATTTTTCTGTACGAATTTGACATCGTACACCAATATAAATAGCACCATCGTGTTTCTGAGCTCAAACGGCATCCGATAGACATGTTTTTGTTTAAAAAAAAATACAACTTTGAAATTTGACCTTTTTTGACCTGAAAGTGACCTGACCTCAGCTATATTCAGATGAAAATGGTCTCAAATGACACAGACGACACCGAATTCGAAATCTATAGTCTAAATGGACCATAAAACATATGTCGCGTGACCTATGACACCAGTATAACGCCTTTTGGGGCGACTAACGGAGCGAGCGAGAGGGTGAGCCTTGCACCACGTGCGACATTTCGAGGGGGTACCTCCAGCTGACTTATGCACGGCACCCTACTAACCGGTCTCTAGCGATGTGCCAAATTTGAGCACAATCGGCCCAGCCGTTCTCGAGATCTGGAAGCGGCACCCTGCACGTGCGCACGTGCAAAATTGGTCCCGACTGACTTTTGCACAGCACCCTACTGACCGGTCCCTACCCATGTGCCAAATTTGAGCGCCATCGGTCCAGCCATTCTCGAGATCTGGAAACGACCCCTGCACGTGCGCACGCGCAGCAGCACCCCAACTCTGGCACATGGGTCTGCAGTGCCAAGTGGGTGCCTACCTACATGCCAACTTTCAGCGCAATCGGCCAAGTAGTTACCGAGATATTGCAACAATTACAAAACGGACACCTCTTCTTTTTGCACGTGGCACGTGCATAAGGGGTCACCCTCATGCATCAGGAATAGTCCAATACTTGGTAGAAGGAATGAAGCTACCCTACAAAAATTACCGCGTGTAAATCGGTCAAGTGGTTGCTGAGATATAAGCCTCGCAAAAGCGTGACCACGGCCGGCCGGCCGGCCGGCCGGCCGCTCATACTCAGAAATTTCCGTTATTCTTTAAAGGTAGTGTGCCAGCTTTCTTGGACCGTATGGAGTTAATGGCCCAGATAAGGAGAACCGGATTTTTAGAACTTATCCATACCTTCAAAACTCATGGAAACGTCTTAAATTCTTCAAATTTTGAGTACCCCAGTGCGAAATTCGCCCCGACGGGTTGTCGGTCGTACCCCAACCACATTTCACACCACTATGAACAATAAATGCACACACTGAAATCGCTATTACCGATATGCTCATCCAATCAAGTTTCGATAAACCCGTTCATCATCATCTCCTGCGGTTTCGAACACGCCTGTTAGGTGGCTTCTGATGCTCGTCGAGGTCGGAATTTCCAAATACGCGTGGTGCGTCGGGCCGCGCGCTCTGACTTCGGCCAAGAAAAATGCGTCAGCTGATCATTGTCATTTCTGCCACTTGCGTGTGGTGAAATGGGGTCATAACTTATAAGACGGCTTTTTCATATCAATTATTTTACATAAAATCATATTTCAAACCATAAATAATGTTCGACAGCCAAATAAAAGAAACAATACCAATACGGGCTTACAGTTTAAGGCTCGACATTGTGTTGTCTACGATTAGACAGCTGATAACTCATTCCCGTACGTCGTATGGTCGTAACACTATAATGACCTTTGCTTATTGTCACAAGTGCGCCGCATTCGCGATTGTTGCCCGACGCCTGTTTGCAGGTGAGCCCACTACAGTTGTTATACATATCTAAAAACCGAAAAACTTTTAGGCGAAAAAGGCACTATTCCAGGCCCATTTTTGATTTTTTTGCGATATTAGGTAAAAACAGAAGCTTCTTATCCTAGGAAAAATAAAATGGGAAATCTTTCAAAGGTGGCACACTACCTTTGAATTTCCGGTACGGACGCGCGCGGTAAGGAAAGACTACGCTCGCTTCGCTCGCTCCGTAATAAGATATCCGTGACCTATGCATAATATTAATGTGAAATTTGGCTACGTGTCCAGAATTGAATTGCGGATCTTCTTGTGCAAGAAATAAGAAAATCTGTTCACAACTTTTCTAGTAATAGCGGTGTAAAGTTAACACGAGCACCGACGGGGGGGGGCGGATATCCGCCTCTCCCCCTGAGGTTTTTCGCGAATAGCGGGAAAACCGCGGCGCGCAGCGCCGCGAAATTTGGTACGACTATTCTCTCATCAATTTTACACATGGTGTGCAAGTTTGAAACTCCGAACTTTTAAGGTCAGGTCACCAGGTCACTTTGAATGACCCAACCTCAAGTCTATTTTTTGCAACTTTGTCACCGTGACAGAGCTACAGTAGATGTCGGGGGCCCTTGAAAGTCGCAGGATTTTATTAGGTCATTAGTAGCTACAATTTGTATATCTCGGAATTTTGATATCGGTGACCTAAGGTTAGGTCAATTTCTCGACCTACCCATTATAAGTCAATGGGGGAAAATCAACTTCCTATTTTTACCAATAAGACGGGTCGGAATGGCCCCATATACCATACATGACTTCATATCCCGCGCCCCCCTGGGGGGGGGGGGCAGAATCTGCACCCTCCCGTTTTTCGCCAATAACTTCTAAACGCGATAAGCCAGCGACGTCAAACTTTCAATACCTTATCATACATCAATTTGACACGTTCCCTGAAAATTTGAGCGAAATCCGTCGGAAATCTTTTGAGAAATTGACGTTTTAGTGACGTCATGTTCACCATTTTCGCCTCGAAAACGGCAAAATTTCAAACGCCGCTAACACCTTCATTTTTAAAGAAATCAAGACGTAACAAAAAAGGTTATACGTGATTTTACTTTGACTATCAAATTGCTATCTCGGTTTTTTGAAAATTTTGGATTTTGGCCCAATTTTTTTTTCTAAAAAAACTGACTTTTTTGGGAAAATAATTATAAAATCCAAAATTTTGAGTGATTAAAAAAACGGAATATATGTCAGAGAAGTGGTCTATGTGCACCTACATACTAATTTTTAGAAGAATCGGTTCAAAAACGTGGGAGTTATTCAAAATTTTATGACGTCACGACACACAAAAATTTTGAAAAATGTTTTTTTTTTGAAGTTCTAGACCTCGTACGGAAACAAAAATAGTACCATTCGATTCGCCGTGAAAAACTGCATCAGATAGACATCTTTTTAGGCCTTAACAACCAACTTCAAAATTTGACCTCACTTGACCTGACCTTGACCTGACCTCGACCTGAAATTCATCCAGAGGTGGTCCATATCACTTATTGAGTGTGCCTATTGAATTCTATGAGTAAAACGACCCATAAAACATGTGTCGCACATGCCCTTTTCTATATTTTGCCCGTATAGGGATTAGGGGGGGGGGGGGAGGTCGAACGGACCCCTCGGTTTTTCGCAAATAACTCGCGTTAAAAGCGGCCGATCGCGACGAAACTTTCGAGTTGATCAATCTTACACCTACCCTGAAAATTTCATGACCCTGACCCAAATGACCTTTGACCTGTGACCTGCTTTCGAGACCATGTTTGGCCGGAATCGCGATTCGGCGTATGTCGGCTCGCATTAGCCGCGCGTTTGCAGTCTTTTCGTGGTTTCAAGCGTTCAAACATGTGATATGATGTTGCCCCCATGCATAAGGGTGGGTGTCAAGGTCACCTGAAGGTCTGGTCAGGTCATTGACCTTTGATGATCTCGGTTCACTTTTTCGAGTTTTACATGCTTGTAGGCCAGTTTTTGGAGCTGAATTCGAATTTAGCAACCATATGAACATTTACGAAGTAGTTTTGGTGCCTTCGTAACATGTTACGAAGCTGTCAGAGGCGGTTGACACCTACTAGGAATACCGGGCAGGACCCCTACTGGTTGACCTGACCTGACCTGACCCGACCTGGCTTAAATGTATGAGCACATCATCTGTGATCAAAACTAACATGATATTCGTGATCAGCACCCCGAAAAACCGTAGCAGCCACACTTTACGAAGTTCTAACAGGTCCCGCAACCGACTTTTGGGTGCCGTCGGGCACCCAAGGGGACCCCCCCCCCCTTGTGCCGTCGAAAGACTCAAAATGGCCTGTGCCGGCGAGGGATAATCAAAGCAAGCTAAGTGATTATAAGACTGGCGGCAGTCCAGAGGCGGATCCAGCTCAGAGGTTTGGGGGGGGCAAACCATAAAAATTTATCGATTCTTTCCATGCATCGTCCATAGGCGTAATGTTAAAATCATGCCGTTTGGGGGGGGCAAATGTCCATTTTGCCCCCCCCCCCTGGATCCGCCACTGCGGCAGTCTGTCCCCTGCCCGTAGCATTCACAGGGACACCAATTTTATGGTAGCTGTCAAATAACTTCATTCATGTGAATTGGTAGCTACATTATTGTTTTCAGATGTGGCGCAGATGTTTCAAAAATCAGTTATTTTATTATGTTCGATAATGCCAAAAAATTCGCCATATCAGTCCCACGCACAAGGGGGAAAAGCTCAAATTATTGAGCGCTCAAAAAATTGAGCGGGCCCCATTATGAAGGAATAGGCGAAACGATGGTATTTTACAATGCCTCTAGCGTCACACTACGGCAAATATCGTATCCAAATAAGGTATCAATGGCAAGAGAGAGCAACAAGGTTTCTTCTCGAACACTCGCCGTGATAATTTATATCGGTGTTTTTGGAAAGAAAATGCCCTAAAGACGCTCAACTTTTTGAGCGCCACTTGTCGTTCGGGACCGCGATACTCAATAAATTGAGCGCCACGACAGACGACAGTCAGCTGGCGCTCAAAAAATTGAGTGCCGGCCAGCATCTACACTCAATTTATTGAGCCTTCTCCGTGACAGGTGAAGCCGGTACTGGCTGCCATTTTTGATGTTATGTTCGTTGAAATACGTTAAACTGAGTTGAAACAGAAATGCAGGAAGTTGAATGCTACGTGGTACCTAAACTTTTCACAAACCCATGGCATCATGTCACATTTTCCGCTAGTAGTTTTATCGGTCGCCTTTCGGATTCGGCACACCTCAAATAATTATACAGGGCTTGAATAATCCGTATGAATACTGTATTGATATTTTCTGACTGTACAGGGAGAAGGGAATACGTGATTACAGAAAGATATCCACCCACGCTTGAATATTGGAGAAGTATACAGGAAAAACTGTATTGCCACGGTTACAACTTACAAGGCCATCGGCCGCAAACAAACAAAAATACTATACAATGTGGGTTAGATTCACAAACATCATCAAGTGTGGAACACAGAGACGAGCAAAACAACACCACATTATCGCATGCCAGCCCGACCACATTGGAACCGGGTGACCTGCGACCGGAACCTGCGTCTTGCCAGCATACATCACAAAAGCAGGAGGCAGTGTCGTACTGCTTTGATCCAAAATATGCCATATGACAAATGATATAAACGACCTAAGCTCGGACTAAGCTTATCATTATCAAATCCCTAACATGTAAAAGACGAATGGAAACATCGAGTCTCAGACCAGCAGTAGCAACCATCACAGTAGCAACATCACAAAGAATACGCGGCATTATCAGACAGCCGTTTTGTTATCGGGCTACAGGCGGCGACGGCGTGGTTGCAGACTAGCTGCGAGGTAGCGGCGTGCGGGCAAAAGGCGCGGGCACACCTCCATGTGGCCGTGCGGACAGTGCGCGGTCGGCGTCGCATAGTGGGCGGCATCGGGCTGTCCCGGGGCCGTCGAAGCCGCACAGGTTGTCGGCGCATGTGGGCGCGCGCGGTCACCACGGCCAGCTGCTCACCACCAGCACAGACTGCGCAGCGTCGCCGCTCCGCCGGTCAGAACACGCAGACAACCCTTCTTGCAGTCGCACAACACGTCGCCAAACTCATTCACCTGCTCCACCATGTTGTTGATGTCACCGAGTCGTTCAAGTTGTGGCTCGTGCCGTCGAGCATGACCTGCCCGATCGGACACGGGTCAGCGGCTTCTGCTCCAGCGAAGTCTTCATCTTGGTGACGTCTTGCTGATCTCCACAAAGGCTGAGCAGATGACCTTACCCACAGGGACGGCCGACGTCCTCACCACCGCTTGGTTGTGCAGACCTGCCAGAAAAAGAAAAGCTGTTTGGTGATCTCAAACGATTTTTTTTTCTTTATGCAGTGGAACAAAATGGAAAATATGTCATACAACAGGAACTAAAAAAAGATGCAGCCTAGGTCGTCTAAGAAATGGGTGCAACATTGATAAAATTCTTCCTTGAATGAATTCTACAAATGCTTTTGATAAATTGTGTGGTGATTATAAGGAGACCACTTTACTATAAAATTGATCAGGATTCCCTATCTGGACCTGTCAAAAAATCCTGACTGCACACCAACAATGAGCATTAAATCCGAAACCTCTACCAGGTACCTAGGGATAATTAAATTGTGATTCAGGAAAATATTTCACATCATACAAATAAAAACCTTTACTATATTGAAACTGAAAATGTGATGCTGATCCAGTGACCTAAGGGTCTCAAAATATAATAATGAATTAATCTATTATAAATTTGGTGGTGACTGCCAACTGGCGTTTGGCAGCCTAGACCTTGAGGCTTGAAAGTGGCCTTCCTTTTCCGTTGACTCCGATCCTCCAGATGGAAATGATATAAAGGATCATTTTTATCTTATTTCAAATGAGCCAGTCAGCAAAGTGGCCATACTATTTCAGCATTCACACACATAATAGTTGACTGTCAGTCTGTCATGCTGTCAGTGTTGTGAAGTAACGAAGGAGTTGAGTTTTGTTGATTATAAATTGTGATGTTATGTAAAGGACTGGAAAATGAATGTGAAAACTATGGAAACATATTGGCAGAGTATTGCCACCTACTATCAGGTCATATGGATAGAGAATACATTCAAATTAATAAGAAATGCCAAATATCAAGGTACTCAATCACTGATAGCAGTGGACTATCATGTTTTAATGTCAATTATATGAAAGTTAAGACTGAAACTACCTTTTACTTCATCATACCTAATGAAAAATTGTGTGAAGAAAACATTCACAGCCTCTTTGAAGCACTTAGACCACTAAAAAACAAAAATTTTCACGTAAATATGTTGTGTCTCTTTCCCTCAAAACATCATATCGGATGGCGCCACTTTCGTCGACAGTTACTTATCTGCACGCAAATCGAGGAAAACGTGAATTGATTGACGTTTACGTGTTTCCAAACTTAAAATCACAGCATATTCAAACTTTTCAGTGTACCTTTTAACATCTAAATATAACTTAAACGATAAAAACTTACCTTCAACACAAGGACGACGACAGCCACGCGACCGGAGACGTCGCGACGAAATAAACAAACGGCGCCGCCAAATGAAAAATATTCTCCGATATTGATATGGGTGATGTGAAATTGAGTCGCAATCATTTTGGGTAGTATGAAAAATGCTCTTTTCAACAGAACCCTAGTAAAAAACGTGAATGGACAAAAAATAACTTTTATTTCGACATAAATATTGGCCTGTTTTTAAGGCATCCTGGTATGCCGTAAGATTTCGACCTAGAAATTGGTGTTCCCCCAATCATTGAAGCTTGAGCAGTGAAAAATATGAAAGCCTAATCTGTTTTGCATCATTAGTGATTCTCCTAGGGTGTTGCCATTTCTCCCTAGGTGTTGCGAGTTGCTTTTGCAAAACGTGTTCCTGAAACGGCTCAATTTTTTGAGCCCTCAGCATTACGCCTATGGGAGCCTCTGACGTCACACGCTCAATATTTTGAGCGCTCAATAATTTGAGCTTTTCCCCCTTGTGCGTGGGACTGATATGCATCTTCTGCTGGACAAATCTGGCTTTTGATTGGCCAAAGTTAGATACTTGCTTTCAGTTGACACTATTCACACCAAAAAAGTTAGGTAATGAACAGGATTTCTGAAAATTGCCAAACAAAGGAAAATCGTCTCTTGCAGCTTTTGTCGTTTGGATTTTCTCGGGGATGTTGTGTGGGCAGCCGCGCATTTCAGTGATGATAGAAACTGTTGAGAAAGAAATGCTTGTTTAGAGAGTTTCGTTGTCTTCTGGCCTTGGGTATGTTGCTTTTCATTTTATGCATTTTTGACACCTTTCACTTCGTGAACTACCTACATGGATTTGTTTCCTTTGTTTTTGTTTTACCTACCTGACATTGTCAGCTTTGTGGAAAAGGAATACCCAATCACTATTATTGCTCCTTACAAGACTAGAAACAAACTAATATGACCAGATAACAGCAGAAACACTATGCACTGACTGTAGAAGCTAGAATACCACAAAAAGAAGTAAAATATGCATAAAATGCAGATGGAAAGCTCCCTGGTCCCTTGGTGATAATCAGTAAATTGCCACATTGTAAATGATTTATTGAGCATTTTGCAATTTTTTTTTTATCAGTATAGTGCAATTTCCCAGCTCCTCAATGGAGGAACTCACATGAGGGCTGTTCACGGGCCCTGTGTGTGGCGTGGCCAGACCATATACAGCCTTCAAGCTCCGCCCACTGCGTCCCTACATCAGCCTTCCGTCACCGCACACAGCGACCGCTGTGGCCGGTTGGGACTGGCCGCAGCGGACCGTCCACCACATGCAGCCGTGACGTCTGAACCGCCTACCCATCCCCTACCCCCTATGCCTGCTGCACACACCTCACACACTGCATTCAGCAGTTTGTGGTGCCCGTGAACACCCCTATGGTCTATGCTTATCATCAATGACATTGAGAGATATGCAGGCATGTAATCTTTATACATGACATTTGTTTTATAGTCCTATATCTGCTCAAGCAGGCCTGTTGCAAAACCTTGATTTCACAGCTTGTATCACATATGTTGGGCATAGCGTAAGCAGCTTTAACTTCTTAACACAGGAAACTGCAAAGTCCTGCAATCTTCAACACCCTTTGCGTGTGCCAATGGTAGCATGGAGATCAAGATGCAGGTTGGATTTATCTCAAACTGGGTGCTGGGTAGTGGGCTACTACTCCATTCTGCATTTTCATACAGACCTATAATCTGCTTTTCCTCATATTATGCGTTCCTAGTCTGCATTATTGATATCAAAGATAGCACATATATTGGATATTCTTCTGCAATGAAACTAAGTGTTTTGCTCATATAGCTTTTGTTGATCTTCAGCAGGAGTAACTGTTCGATGCAATGGGTCAGGGGAGCAGCAAGCAGCAGGAAGACTTCCTAACTGAGGAGGAGATTGAAGATTATCAAGATCTTACATACTTTACCAGACAAGAAATCATTGTGTGAGTGTTCTACTATTTAGTTATAATGGGAGTTTTATAAAGGATTTCAATATCAGTCAATATCTATAGTTTTTCTTTTGTTGATTCAAGCATAGTTTGCTGATGATAGAAAAATGATTGAAGTGAGATGCTTTTGTCAGCTATAACCTCTGGCCTCTGCCAACTCTCATTTTTTTGCTAACTATGTACTGCTGTCCCTCCCAGTGCTCACAAGAAATTCAAGGCTCTTGCACCAGATATCGTGTCAGAGAACAGAAATGCACGTCTGGAGATGAGTGTGATGCTCAACTACCCAGAACTGCGAGCCAATCCGTTTGGCGACCGCATCTGTAAGGTGAGCACTGAGCATGGCTCGCTCGAATGATCGAATGCAATCGAATCTCGAATCGAATCGAAATAACAACTATCAGGATCTGTCAGAGGAGACTGATGAGGTGTTTTGAATTGATATTTGTACAGCATGTGCATTGCACAACGTTTCTTGTTTTCAGTTGGTTCAGCTGATGTGTACGAGTACCTATGTGATCTCCGAGACGTTTGACCCGTCAGAATAACTTAATCATTTATCAATAATGACAGATTCAATGCTTCTATTGAAGGAGGGTATGGTATTAAAGCCTTCTAATGCATCTTACGCGAACCTAATAAATCATCCAGGCCTTACTTATACCGACCTAACAAACCTCATCTTGCACCCCAGTTGGGTTCCTCTTCAGCTCAGTTTGGATGCGGCCTGGACGAGTTTATTGATGTACGCACCGGCCAATGCACGCACGGGGGTGCAGCATCCCTCCGCTTTCCTTGGCAAGCCCTCCACGCTCACCAACCCGAGTCCGACCCTCTCCCTCGGTGTCGGCAGGTCTTCAGTTCCCTGCAGGACGGCTCCTGCACCTTCGAGGACTTCCTCGACATGATGTCCGTGCTCAGCGTGCACGCGCCCAAGACGGTCAAGTCCGAGTACGCGTTCCGCATCTTCGACTTTGACAATGACGATATGATCGGCCGTGAGGATCTGAGGGAACTCATCAACCGGCTGACGGCGCCGCAACGCATCACCGAAATGGAGATGATGGTACGTTTGGAACGTACCAACATTTGTTAATAAGATGCGCCTTCATTTGATGCACTGTGCGTGTTTAACTGTCCAAATATTGATATTTCATTTTTTCGTTTTCTGCACAAGTCTTTGCATTGTGAGTTTTTGCGAACAGTATTTCAAATGCAATGGGATTGTCCTACTTGATTTGATGTTGGCGCGAGTGATGCGTGCATCCTAACTTGTGATCTTTTTTGGTTTGCAGCAACTCATCCAGAACATCAACAATGAGTCTGATTTGGATGACGATGGCATGCTGTCGTTTGCCGAGTTTGAGCACATCATCTCCAAGTGTCCTGACTTCACAGAGTAAGTTTGCGTGAGGGGAGTGGGCGTTCATGCAAAGGTCTAAGATTTTACGATAATTCTACGATAATTAACTTAGGTTGTAATTTCACCTGTTGTTCGATATTTTGCTGTAATCGGCACGGGTGTTGTTCAGGTAGTTCAACTATTGATCAGCTTATCTGAGCAAAGAGAAGACATGACATGAATCTTCTAGTGCGAGTGTGGTTATTCGTCGAAATAACCCGTACTAAGTCAATGAATTTACTAATATTTTCATCTCTTTCCAGCTCCTTCAGTGTGAAGCTTTAAGCGCTCAAGACGCAGCTGGCTCAAATATTATTGTGAGTACTCAAGTCTAAAAGATCTTCTTTATATGGGTCTGTCACCACTGTCTTCTGATGCCGCCACAACCACCTCTGTCAGCTGTTTCGACCAATGTCACTGGCGATTGACGAGGCAGCGCTAGATATGTGTCTGATATCACGTAGCTCTTCTGGTTCCATTGCTCTCGACTATCACTGCCGGCACGCACAAAGAAGCCACCACAGACTCCCAGCAAATGGACGTATGCTCAACATCTTGGGGTTGAAGGCAGTGGCCGAGGCACACATTTTGTATCAACTGAGGATATGATATGATATTCTCGGGGGCTTCCTCCAGCATGGCACGCACTTTGTTCAAACTGCCGGGATCAGTTTACGATATTCCACAAACATCATTTTTTGTCGCACTGGGTTGTGAGTTATTGACAGCTGGTAAACCTACCTAGCTCAAACTGGGGGAGAGGTGGGGGTAAACCAAGGGGTAAATGGTGGTGGGTGTTTAACAAATCTTTTTTAAACTGGCAATGATCTGAAGGGAAGTTTGCAAGAAAGAACGACATCGTCTCAGTGGCTACTGTAAAAGTTATTTGTATTGTGTTGAAATTCTACGTACCGTATATGAGGTTTAGCTATTGCTAGATTGTTTCAGGATGGTATGAGTGCGGATTTTGTTATGCGTAGGTTAAATAGAACCCCGTGTGTGTAAAGGTTGTGGTTGTGTCGCTTTAATGCATATTGGACCGCGATGTCCATGTAAAGCAGGCTCTACAAACTCCATACCAGGAAATGTGATGTTATCGTTCCATTATAAAAACATTTCGTTTTTTAAGAAACATTATCTGTAGTGCAAATAACTTGCCGTTAATGTTTGACTAAGCATCGTTGTTTTGAAAATTTTGGTGTCTGTTTTTGATGTAGCATCTTTTTTCATAGTTCGTCTCGGAAATATTATTCAAGATTGTTGTGGCGGATATAAACTCTCGCATTGATGGTCCTGTTTGAAATTGTTTATAGTTTTTTTTATTTCTTTATAGGCTGCTTAAACATCCATATATTTTGCAATTGGTAATACGTGTATGCTGTATAATGAAACTCATGTGTCAGCGACGCCACCTGGAGGACCGTCGTTGTGGTTAGTTTCAGTAACTGACCGGGAGGTGGCTCTAGTGTTCGTATTTGTGCCGTAACTCTATGGCTCTGTTCGGCCTCGCTTCCTTGCGTTATTGTTAGTTTGATGTGAGAAAGGCCTGGCACCTCGGTGGTGGTGGATATCTCAGTCGGGTTAGTCATTATTCCATATCGACTCTTGCCTGGTTATGGGATAGATTGGTGCCAAAGATAGCGGGGAAGCTGTTCACTTGTGTTTGTCGCGGTTGAAGTCACCGTTCAGCTGATGTTAGCATTTGCGGTTGATTGTGTTTGATTTGAGTGAATAGCGGCGCACTGGCTCGCTCAACGCATTTTCTTGTCACTTTGTTGAGTTTTTTTATGCGGTCCAAGAGGGTAATCTAGGGCGCTTAATGTCGTAGGCTAGGCTCAGGTCAATATTTGATCGCACTTCAATACACGCGATTCGAAGCAGACTATGGCATCTGAACAAAGTTGGTGGCTTTGGTTACGGTTATGATACTGTGCATGCGTTGTTATATGTTCGTTCACGTTACCTAAGACCAATACAATAAGCACTTCGGGTTTCGTCACTTAGATGTTTAATGTTTATTCACCTGCATCTGCTTATTTACAACAAGAAACACGGCTTGAGCAGAGTCGGCTATGTCAGTAGCCTCATTCAACGAACCGAGCTTCATGGGACGAGGTCGGTTGATATTTGATTATTACAGAAATAACCTTTACGCATTGACCTTTAAACTTGGCGTTAAATTGTCTCATGCGTTTTTTAACCGCTGATCGTTCTCTTTCTAATAGAACTCTCGATTTGCACTTTGTAGCGACACAGAGAAGGCACATGTTCATGAGATCGCACTACACTCTTTCAAACCCTCTCGATTCTCGGATACACACTCAAAGCACATCAGCTACACACTCGAATCATCCAGCGAATCATTGCTCATCTTTCCATGCCTCCACAGTCCACACACTTCGGCTTCTAAAACATCAGTCCACCGCGCACGCCGCGAGCCTCGTCAAAGCTCTTTAAGCCGCCGCCAGCTGGATAACGCCAGCTGCCATCGCTCGGTTAGACCAGTGATATTCATAGCATCCGTAGGAAGACAACCGATCTACACAGGATCAGCCAGCTGATCTTCGTAGATTCGGACAGATGATCTTTGCGAAAGATCACACGATCGCCGCTAGGACGGTCATATGATTTTCGAAGAATCAGACGATCTCCGCTGGGTCAGACATGATCTCTGTATGATCGCTTGCTCTCCGTAGGATCAGACAGCTGATCTCTGTTGAACCAGTCAATTGATCTCCATAATTAGACCGATCGTGGACGTCTGTAGCCTCTTGCCTCTGTTTCACCTCCCCACCTACCCTGGCGCCGTCTTCAAACCTTCATCGCTACGCGCTGTATCGTACGGAGGCGGCGGCGACGGCTATTCGTCTGTCGGCAAAGAACAGAAACAAGGCTCTCAATAAACGATACCGGTGCTATGGCGGCTGGCCGGGAACCCTGGAACACAAAGGCAGCATTATAGAGCCTCGTCAGAGCGAGGGTGTGGGCGCGGCTGGGACAGAATCCCGATCGACACAGGCGTGTTGATATGAAAAGACCGCAATTAAGGAGAAATCAGATTACGCATGCGTGTAGTCATCAGGCGTGTGAAATGAGGCGTAAATGCGGGAATGCTAAATAGGGTCAATAGGGACTAAGTGGGCGTGATTGGCGAAAGACATGTTTTACTACCACGCATCATGCTTGTCGAATAGTGAAATGAATGGTTATTGCCATATAGAAGAAACGAATTAAGACTTTATACTGTGGTTTTCAGAACCGGGAACTACATGTTCATTGATCAAAGGTACCATAGTTCTTCATCTCTCCGTTGATCGCTGTTTCTCAAAACTATGCAGAATAATGGTAAAATGTGCTAGAAGTTTATAGAGTGAGAAGTTGTCATTCCTACCGTACTTGCCCAGGCTGCCGGGCGTGCGACGGGCTGTCGTCTACCGGCGTTTGCTGTACCCGTCGAGCGGCTTGAACTGGGTGTAGGTGTACAGGTGTCCGTCTCCGTACCCGTACAGCAGTTTCCCGTGACCGTAGCGGTCGTAGAAAGGGTACCGGTACCGCGGCCTGCAACAGTGCGGTACGGGTGAAAAGGGGGGCGCCAGGCGGGGAGCGGGAGACGACTCAAAACAACGCGCCGCCCTTCTGCTGGGTGTGCTCCGCCTGTTGAGCGTATCACGTCTGTCTAGAAGGCAATGCGCATCTGGTCTACATAGAGCGCGCGCCGCCTCTTATTTAGAGCGCACGTCGCCCCTGTCTACAGCGAGGACGACAGGTGCCTGTCGTCCAGAGGGCATCTCGCCTCTTAGAGCGCTCGCCGCTTCTGTCTACATCATGCCACCTGAGCGTGTGTTTGTTTGTTTGTTTGTTTGTTTTGTTGGGTTAGGCCCTTTCGGTCGACAAGACCATTGCAGAGCCGGAAGGATGATAGGAATTAGGGGGAGACATTGGTCTGGGCAGGCACCCTAGTGAGTCGCCGGGGCTGAGCCCGTCCAGAGGACAGGCCACCCAGCCCCAAGGCACTCACTGCACCCGGCTACGGGGTGCGCTCCCTCGGGAGCAGCGGTGCCGATCCAAGGGAGCAGCCCGCATGAGATAAAGTTGCCTGTCCAGCCCGGAGTGGGGTTGCGGCGTGGAGGAGAAGGATTTCAGTATCCTGAGGATAGAAGCACGGAACAGTGCCTGAGCGTGTGGACTCCACACTGTGGAGCCCAAACGCCCTCCACACTGTGGAGCGCGTGCCGCCTCTGTCTAGATCACGCCACCTGAGCGTGTGGAGGGCGTGCCACCTCTGTAGCGCGTGCCGCCTCTGCCGTGGATGGGTCAGCGCTCCAGCGGACGCCATTTTCAGAACCTGGCGTTTTCCTGGAAACCGGTTGGCTATTTTCGGAACAGAGAATCGTGGTTGATCTGGTATAGGTACTATTCGATAGTGAGGGTCGAGGGACATGACGTACCGCTTTCGCTGTCGCGGTATTTAAGTGCTATCGCGGATCGCCATTTTAATGTCAGATAAGCGCCAAGCAATTTATCACTGTCGCATTTTTACGTCAAATGCTCTTGTTCTATCGCTATGTATGTAATTTCTTACCTTTCAGACCAGACGATTAGAATCATTTATTATTGATTAATGATTAATTTTTGTAAAGCAAACATTCGAAAAGAAGAAAATACAAAGTGGTGCCTATTCCACATGTCACATGTGTGCCATCGACGAAACTTCCGGGCCATGTTAATTAACATTAGCATATCGTCTTACAACGGAACGGAGCTTTACGTAAGCTTGACATCTGGTGCAGTTTAGTGTTACTGTTTTATCGCTTGTTTTGGGAGCTAGTACTCCTCTCTCTGATAGCTGCACTTTGACAGCCGAAGCACGACGACCCTGAATGAAAGGCGGGACATCACACACGTCAATTCCGTCATGCGTCACACATCAATTGGGTTAACTGCACTGGAATTTATGTACTGAAAGGCTCGAATTTCGGTGCTCGCACCTGGGCCAGGGGTATTAGGAAACAGTGGTAGTATGACTCGCTGGAACTAATGAAGTCATATGCATAGAGCAATTATATTTTACTCAGACTGCCTTCATGGCATGCTTCTGAACATACAACTTTTACGTCCATGGTTCTCCTTTACTTCTGGCAGTTGAAAGGAGCGAGACTTCTCTGAAACGGACGCCCATTACTCACCTTATAAACAGTAGTGCTAAAACAGCATAGTCTCACCTCTGGTAGTAGGGGTACGGTATCTGCGGTATAGCCAGGAACCGCTCCCGGGAGTAGGACTCCTTGCCGACACGGCGCAGAGCGTGCATGGCGCGTGGTACCCGTATCCTGAACCGTCGCCACCTTCTGGCTGGTGTGCTGGGCGGCACCAGTGTCACCAGGATCACCAGCAGCACCAGCAGCCACGTCAGCGGCACCTGCACACACGGGGCACCAGGTCAGCGGGCGGCACGGCGGTCACAGTACGGTGATTAGACGGAATTTTTATAGCTGGGTGTGTGGAAGCAGGGTAATGTACAGGTGAACGACTCGTTTGAGCTGAAGATTGCCACTGGACTACGGGAGAAGGAATCTACCGCAATGGTGTTTAATTAGATACTATTTTTAAACTAATTGAAAAGCCCTTATGCTCAACTTGGTTCATACTTCATTTTGCCTTTTCCAGTATTTTGCGCAACTAATATTTGTTCTTAATCACTTTTCGTGTCTGGCCTTGTGTAGCATATTTAGCAGGACCCAAATGTTATACAACCAATAGTGTTTCTTTTGTCGATCGATATAGGATGGAGAGATAATTGCGGATGCGGCGGAAGTGCGCCATTTTCAGCTCTCTTCGGAGCAGGACTTCCGGAAGACTCCGCGAGTGAAAGTGCTTTTGGTTGGAGATCGGCGTGGTTTTAATGGGACCGCCGCACCTCTTCTCTCCATCAGGGCTTTGGTGCTTCCTTCGAGTTCTTTCGAGTTAGAATAATTGTTTCGCTTCTAACTACTTTAGATGCCAACGAAGTTTGCACTGAAATTAATTCATTTTTGCTATGAAAATGACCACGGCGTGTAAGCCACACAACAAAATAGGTAGGTACCACTTTTAATGCGATCCCCGTTCTGCTTGTTCAGCTGCATTGGATGGTCGATTATTCCTTTCCACATTATCGAAGTCCAAACGCTGGCCGGTTCGGCTGCACCTGCTCTTCCGCATGCCGCCGCGCTGTCTGCTGCTCTCTCCGATATTACAATGCTCTCATGTGTGTGCCGCTTGTTCCATTGCCTACATGTGAGTCCGTTGCATGTGTCATGTGAGCCTGTTCCACTCCGCTCTCAATGCAAGCCCGCTCTGCTGTAAACAAGTGAGCAGTTCCACTGTCCACTTGGGTCGTTTGCTTCACTGTCCACATGTGTGGGCCAGTTGTGCTAGATATCTACATGTGAGGCCACTCCACTGTCTACACGTGAGGCCATTCCACTGTCCACATTGATCTCGCTCCTCTGTCTACACGTCATCCCGTTCCGCTGTCCACATGTGTTGTCCGCTCCACTTTCCATACGCGTCGCCCGCCTCGCTGTCCACCATGCGTCAGTCGCGTGCCATGGCCGCCGGCCAGCTGCGGCGCCGGTACCGGCGAGTTACGCATGCCGTGTGTAATCACCGGCCAGTCGCCTCGCGCCGCCGCCCTACCGCGACCGTGTTCTCGGCCGCCCCCGCCCCCGCCCGCGCCCCTGCCCGCCGTGATTGCCTAGACCCGCCAGCGAGGCGCGCAATCACACGAAGGTATGGCGACACGGCGGAACGGGCAATACAGAGTGACAAAAGCGCAGAGCTATACGGTGTATGCAGCAACACTACACCGGACTCACTGCATGTGCACAGCAAAGGTGTCACTCCAACTGTAAAGGTGAGGTGACAAAGGATCAGAAAGAGTTCATTGAACACCGCGGCACCAGCTGATAAAAAATCAGCAACACCGCTTCAATGCATGCTCCACCAGGCTGCCAGCGATATGAGCGACGCCGGACTTATTTAGTTATTTAGCGTCGCACACATGACTTTGGGACACAGCACCAAACTTTGGAGACAGAGACGTTCCGCCGTGCTAACTACACGGTGATACAGGATTTGTGATAACTGAGAATCGGCTCTGTACCACGGTAACATAACAACGCCATGCCACTATAGGGGACATACAAACTGATACAGTGACACACCTCCAAAGGATGCAGTGAGTGCTGCACCAGCAGATGCCGTGAAGCGATACCGCGGCGGTACCAACTACCAGGCAGGCAGCGGTGATAACAATAAAGATAACAACACCGCGTGGTCGACACAACGATATAAGGGGCAGAGTGGCCCGGGCCGGGCTTGGGGAGCGGGATCACATCACCTCATATTTTGGGCGGTAGCCGGTCAGGTAATGGGACACCCGGTCAAAGGGAATTCCTCTCTAACCGATGGGGCTCAATAGACGGGCACCTCTGACCGAAACGGAAGGTGACTCGTGTGATTTGGGGATTGTGTTGGACGAGATGGACGTGAGTGATATGTGGTGCGCTATCTGATTTCGGATAATTTATTGTCAGGTGATTTAATTGAGTGTCGTGCTTCGATAAACGATCGCTAATGGGCGATTTAGTGTTGTATGTGGCATAAGATTTGCTACGCTATATTGCGTGGCTTTTAGGCGCGCTTGCTTTCGCATTGAGCATGATTTATTCGTCGCCTGGCTGCAGGTTGTTTGTATGCCGACATTTATATCCGCTTACTGGACAAGTGATACATCATTTCCGACACTTACCGTCACTCATCTTTTTGCTGTCATTTTTTAACCCGTAACGCGTCTCGCATTCATAATGCTCGCACAGACAAGCATTTACGATGCATTGTCCACGCGCTCCCTGGCTGAAGGCGTGTCCTGGTGCTCATGGAACCGCTCGGAAGTCGGATTCCGCATCTGTTACCATCCACTCTGCTGCCGGCGGCTGGGTAGGGAGGATGAGGCGTGACAAGTCGTCACCCGGCGGACAGCCGGCAAAAATGTCTTCTCGACGCTCGTCAGGAACATGCCGGTTTTTGGGAGAAAGGACACGCGTGACTTGGCGTTTTCTAAATAGGTGCTTGTGTGCTAAGAGTGACAGTCGGCTATATGTGCCTTTACTGCTACGCATACCACTGCAAAGTGGACTGAAAAGATCACCCATCCGGGTGGAATTTTGAATGTTTTCGAATGTAATCAAAACATCTGCTTAGCATCTAATTCTGTTTATATACAAGCCTTAGGACTCCTATACAAAAGAGAAGAAGTGCAGTGAAACTTATCTATAGCTCAATGAAACGGACACCATACTCGTACAATACACGGAACACTGAACAGCGCTGCAATTTCATGTCGCGCCGCTCGAGCTAAATCACTGCGAACGGTCCACAGCACCTGGCCACTCCTCCATGTGCCGTGATTCAGTGGGAGCGCGCCGCCGCGCCGTCCTCTCTCGCCAACTATCGGCGCATTGAGGTGCGCCGTCTGAGGTCCGCGCCCGGTCCACGGGTGGCCGGCACGGTTTCAGCACCGGCCGCCGCCCCCAGGCTGCGAGCGGAGCGGCCTGGATGATGTCAGCCCGACACCCAATCGTGCCTGACGTGAAACTTTCACTACACGAAATCCCACCGATGAACTTGAATTGCGCCAGCGCCCGTGGCGAGGGTCAGGGTCTGGGCAATGGATCTTGCTCGGCATGTGTGATGTTGTGCAGGCGTGACGGGCTGTGCCTGGGAGCAGCAGTGCAGGCAGGTGCGATCGATTAGATTTATTTTTTAATCAACGCGTGTGACATAGCCGCGCATAGTAACGTGGAGATAGGACTTAGTTACTGATCGTGTCGTCCGCACTATGTGTCAGACAAATTGTGTTAAACGAGGGACGATGTGTAATCATTCAGAAATACGTTCCTGGATATGTATAGTATGTTCTCACTCGCATTGGAAACGAGAATGACAGGAATCATGTGTGATGTGAGTGTGAGCTGTCATTGTAAGATAAACCCAAGCGCATGGGCACAGCAATTAGTCGTGGGAAAAGGCGTGGGAAAACACAAGTCCTTACATAGAGGGCATGCGAAAGGCACGCGCCTCTGAATGGGAAGCGATGAGAAGGAGAAAGGCGCACGGAGAAGGACAATAAGTGGACGGAACTATCATATGCGAATACGAATAGAACGTGGGTTGATACTGCAAGGAACTATGCGCAATCCGCAGGTATTGCTACTGATCTTATGTGCCAAGCTCTAAACATGCAGCTCTGGGTCACCCAATATGTACATACAGGGTGCCTCAAAAGTTCGCATACAGGTACCAGCCATGCTTTTTTGTCAATAATTCTGAATAAACGAGAAATAAACAGTCGAAATTTTGCATGGGCATTGGTAACAACCTTCCCCCAGCAGTCGCATTGTTTTCAAGCGCATCCGACCCTTCATGAGCCCACAAAAAGGGTTCATCTCTGACCATGGGTCAAGCATGAAAATGGAGGTCGCAAAATCGCGTCGGCTGAGAAACTCTCTGTTTCAGGAGTAATGGGAATGGTTAAGTCGGAAATGACACATGGCAAAGTGTCGGCGAGGATGAGTACAACATGATGATCATCTAATAAAAACGGTGGCTAAAATTTTTGAAGGACAAAACCATGCGAGACTAACAGCGTTTTGAACGACCCTCGTATGGCAGCAGACTCGTGCTCCGGAAAGCAGCTGAAAATGAAGGCATAACTATTGAAAACTGACAAGAAGCTCACAGACAGAGGTTACCCAGTTTCAAAAATTGCAGGTCATCGTAAAATAAAGACAAAGTATCATTTGAAATTGTTTATAATGTCTAGAACGCTAAATTTTTGGGGAAAATAACACGAAAATCATCAACACCAAGGACAACTGACACTCCAAAAGTGTCAATTAATGTAAAGTTTTATCTTACGAAGTTTCAAGAGGCAGATCTAGAGCGAACAGCTTTCTTTTAGACACAAAATCCCGACAAAACCACACGATGGACAGGTTTTGGCCGTTTACAAAGCAGAACCTCTCCTGAGGAAGACACTCCGCAACCCAGCGAAGGTCTTGGCATTGGGAATGACGAGCGAATGGGATTTGCAAAATTTGCACAATGTGTCTAAGAAACAGATGGCCGACACATTCTTCTATGATATGCTGCGAAAATTTTTCCCCTGGCACTTCCCATTTGTTCAGGAATGGGGTTGTTTTGAAAAGGAAAATGGTGCTTGGGAGGTCGGCGCCAGTCATTCATGAAGGAGTTAGCGCCAGAGAAGACCTACAAAATACTCACGGATGGTGTCGATGCACGCTGTCGGCTTTCAGGGAGAAGCGGATGTTGCCGGGGAGCTCGTCAAACCTAATTCCGACGCAGAAACTGCAGGGGATTCCCTTACAAGAGCTTGAAAGCTGGTAACCTTTTATCAGCCTCCGGCAGCTGACGGAGCGACGAAAATCGGTATGGGCAAATATTTTTGGAGATACAGCAAAGGGTTTGATTTCCAACCTCCCGAATCAGTTGTCAAAGCATGCATATTTGTCTAGTGTGCACACAGACACAAAAACCTTAAATTTGTGGCCGGTTCTTATATGCTTTATGGGCATGGGAAATGTGTATACGAACTTTTGAGACACCCTGTACATGCATTGCAATATGAGTGCATTGTGAAAAGCTTGCTTTACATTCGTTGCACCACAATGACCACTCATGCACCCGCGTACCAGTTTGCTCACAGCTGATGGCGACATCGAATGCTGCCTCGCGGGTCGACGGCCATTTCATGAAAGGTGTCAACCAGCTAACTGACGTTTTGTACAGTATCCAGGTATTCAGAAACATATTACACAGGGTCAATGTTACCACGCAATGAAGTGTGGGAGCCAGTCTGCTTCTCAGCAACTCAGCAAGCTGGTTCCCATGGGATTGGACTCGGTTTACGATGAGAGCAATCTTTACGTCCTTTTGATAGCCAAAGCTGCATCGAAGCGGTTGCAACCTTGAAGTAGCTCATTCTTCAAGGTTGATGCGGGATCTCTACGGGATGGCTCTACATTGAAGATATTCTTTTCTAGCGGTCATTTTCGGAGGATAAGCGCGACTAGCGCTTTTTAGACGTTTATTGAAGGAGACCCTTTAAGTTGTGACTTTTTGTAAGGCATTCGATGTGTGTAAGCTTAATTTGAAAATATTGCTGATGGCTCAACCTGATACACCGAGCCGATCTTTGGTGTTCGGTGACTGCTGGCAAATGCAGCGCACCCAATATATTTGGTTATAATGCAAAAGGCTAATAGGAAAGATGCCGGCTCCTTCAATTTTTACGTGGCATGCAAACTTGTTTGCTGTTCCCCAAGCTTTTGATTTAAGCCAACAATTTTATGTCATAAAAGATGATAAAATGTCATCTTCGATTCATAAGTTTATTAACTATTTACCAGAGATTTGATGCGAGCTTTACCGCACATTTAATCGATTGATCAATATACAGGAAAATCCCAGGCCGGACTCGTATCATGAACAGATCACATTACAAATCTCCAACTACAGAACGCAAAAAAGTATCGAACCCACCTTCATATTTCCCGCTGCGTTTCTCCTCCGGCAGCGTTGGCTCTGGTGACCCGGTCCGTACTCCCTTGGTGCCTCTGCCGCACCTCAGCCGTGTCCTGCGCCAGTGTCCTGTCAGGGACACTCGGCACGTGTCCGGCGCCGTGTCTCGGTGGAGCGGTCGCTCGCGGCACGTCGACAACCCCAGCTCCCGTGGGACACTGCCACGGCCAGCGCAGCACTCTCGCCTCCGCCGTCGCGCCCGCGCGAGTAAAAGTGATTCCGACGCCGCAGACTGGAGGTCACAGCCGCCTCAGCCCTCGGGCTGATAACGCAACCCACGCCCCGCCGCCGGCGCCGCCGGCGCCCTCGCGCGTGCGTGTGTGTATGTGTGTGTGTCGGGGGCGACGAGACGCCACAAGCAACCGCAGCGTCCCGGTTGAAGATGCGTCTGTGGTGAGCGGCGTCACGCTCTGCATTCATGCATGAGGTCGTTTGAGATGTGTCAGCCGCGGCGGCGGCCGTCTGGTCGAGGTTTTACTTTCGTTGGAGCGCCAGGTGCGACCTTGTCCCCGTGAGGTATGTGGAAGCGCTCGCTGCAGACGCTCGTCTTCTGTGGAACTCTATCCACCTGACGGATGACGGCGCCTGTGGCGTATTCGATTGAACAACGTCCGCCGTTGCGAGCGATCGGCTCGTTGCGCAGCCGACGTCTTGTGTGGCAACGGTGACACCAGACGGGGGCCGGACCGGCGCAAGAACCGATTGACCTGACATTGCCAAGATCCGGCCGTGACGAAAAGGGGTTGTGACGTGGCGCTCCATGAGGTCAGTTGATGTGTGTGCGATCAATAGGCGGATGTCCGGTGATATGTTGGAGTAGCATAACTGGAAAATCCTGTCTGTAGAGAAAAGCATGTCCTCTTTTTTATCACATCTTCTGCAAGCCTCGGTATTACCTCATCTTGTTAGATGCTGTTCTTCCTCTGAATATCAATTCACAACATCCAGAGACCAGCGATTGTACAGCCAGAGATTGTCAATGAAAGAGTACCACCACCATCTCTGGGTTTAGTTATCTGCCATTAGGGCCTTGGGCATTACACTTTATTTTAGTGTTTCTCAATCACATTGTCATTATGCATGATATTGTTTGGCAACTGGTTGCACGGGCCAGTTAAATTGGTTCAGTGGTTACAAAAGATAGATTCCCTGACAACATTTTGCCTAACATTTCTTCACTCTTCCCATCTCATAATTATAGCAATTGCAAATGCAACAACACCGCATCTTGGTACGTTTAACTACTTGCTACATGTGCTGTAAATGACTGTAAGCCCCTCCGGACACTGTCCTTACTATATTGCACTGTCAAAGCCCTCATCCCGTGAGCCCTTGGCTCGCGCGGCTCTCGACACCCTTGCTGCGGGCAGCTCATTGAGATTCGAGCAGTGTGTGCGCACCGAGCAACACAGATCCCCACTTTCACTTTTATTTGCATCCCGTCATGATGGTGTACAAGTCACCACCCACAGGTGCACGTGCAGCAAACACCACACATTCCTTAGGCAACTGCAGCTGCTTCCCAGTCGTGGTGAGACGAGGCGACGGCATGGTGGGCAGGAGAAGCAAGTAGATGAAGAAATGATGCAACACCGGAGAGGAGAGACGGTGGGAGAAAGGTAAGATAATCGAATAGTTCGATTGGAGATGTTTTGCTCATCGAACTCGGTGGTAAGAAAGAGAGAAATGTGCGAGCGAAACTGGTAGATCGTGTTGTCTTTTTGTGGCACAGCTCGCCTTGTAACACGATCGCATGCAGATGAATCAATGTTTTTTGAATTCATTGAATCATGACTGTTGTCTTGCATAGAAAGACCAAGTTTCACTAGCACTTACGGACCGGCGGTAAGTATTCAAATGCTCCTCGAAAGTACTACAAGCCGGCATTATCCCGCCTCACCCCATGGATCCAGAAGGGTATTTTCGAGTGCCGCCGGGCTGATTACTGACAAAATCTGACGTCTGCAGCTAAGCCCGATTTCTAAGATCACTCTCAGCACCTCTGCGGTTTCTTTCTGCCAGACACACAGACAGGTTAGTGTTCTAAAAGCAATTGGAATTCTGGTACCGGCGTGAGCCTTTGACTTTGTTAAATGTTCGCAAATATTGACTGTTGTCTCAGGATTTCTGTTTGGAGAGTGTGACGAACCGCTAAGCTGACGAAGAGTGGTCATGAGAGCCGGGTTTGATCCATTTTAGCGCTGGCTGTTTACTGCCGACGGAGATGTAGGGGAAGGTGGGGTAAGACGGCCCAGCGGGGCAAGACGGACCACCAGCCCTCCCGGCTGAACCGCTGCTGGTATCTACTGCTTAACCCTATTAGTGGCAGGCTCCTGGCTACCCCATATTAGTGGCAGGGGGGGCTGTTTACGACCCCCCCTTGATATCTCGAGATCTAACCGGCCGATTTTCAAAATTCAAACGGCATTCGGCTCAACGAGATCTACATTTCTAAAAAAAATAAAATTAAAAAATGTCAATAGGGGGGTAGAGGGGGGTAAAAAGGGCAAATTGCAGATACATTTTAGACTGTTTATCACGGCCAGGTTTCTGAACCAATCTTAACGCAACTTTTGCCGATCGATAGAGAATGAACCAGGAATTCACATGGATCCTAAAAATATGCATTTTCAAAAATCATAGGCGGATACAGATCATTGAGATTGGGGGTACACAAAAAGTATAGTAAATAAGGTTTTTGTTGGTACTGTTTCTAAAAAGGGTGGCAATGGTCTTGTTATGATACAATTTTCTTATGAGAGAACGACTAAAATTGTATTGGTCATGCATAGGCGGTGTCAGGGCACCTATGTTGGGAGGAAAAAAATAACCCCCTTTTTTGGACGCCTGGATCCGCCTATTATAGCAAAAACGTGTCAAAAGAGGATGCACAATAACTTTGTATATGTTATCACATGATACCTTTCATTCACTGTTCGTAAAACTGGTGCAGTGGTGCAGCATCGTGATCTTCGCCCAAATGACTCGCTTCACGAATAGGACCCCCCAATTCCCAGTGCTCTGGAGCCGCCCCTGGTAAAGTTATGAACTTGAAATTTTCAGGGAATGTGCCCAAATAGTTTTAGGAAAAGTCAGAAAATTTCAGCATCGTAGCTTCAGCGGTTTCGGAGATATTCCCGAAAAACCTGAGGGGTGGATAAAAACAACCCCCCCCCCCTGCCACTAATAGGGTTAATGCACTCACTATGTTTGTTTTCCTTCGTAACAATGGCCACCTTGAGCTCATGCTGCTAGGATGCATAGCCTTTGAGTTATTGAGAAAAATGTTGTTTTTCGTCAAACCGATCTAATATAAGAGGTCTACGGGTGATTCAATTACGGCGCCTTTCTTGCATGATTAGTTTCTGTTTTGTACCTAACTGTGAAGAACAAAGTTATAAACTTAGTTATAATCACACTTTAGGAAAGGCAAGGTTTTGCAATGTTGGGCTATTTGACATATACGTCATGATAATGACAGAATTTAGATTTGGGGCAAGACGGACCACTGTGGTCCATCTTACCCTGTGGTGGTCCATCCATTGTACCCTGCATATGGAAAGTTCTTTTCCAAAGCATTGACACAAGTTTAAGTAAGCTAATTTTTCAGGAAGGAGTCTTTGTTGCATGTGAGCCATGCATGCAAGTGCTCAGTTAGCATGCATTCATGCCAAACGACAATCAACACACACGTTCCCAGCTTTTAGCTGCACTTCCATCACACATGAGTAAAGAATAAAGGCTCATTTTGTTATTTTACCATTCTGGTTACTTTTTCTTACAAGAGTACAGAGCAGAAGTGTAACACACATGAACGGATAGCAGGCACTGCTGGGTGGTCCGTCTTACCCCACGTTTTTTCTTGTCTGAGTTTTTGACATGTCCCTCTTTAAGAGCATCCACCACCTAGATGTCTTTAAGTTGAAATTTAGTCCTTACACATATCAACAGAGGAAGGATTAAGCATTCCGAAGACTATAAATAATATGAATTACGAGAGCAGTGTAGCAAGATATGCGGCCTCAAACCTTAGCTGGTCCGTCTTACCCCACCTTCCCCTAGAAGTCACGCGACACGCTGTGGGCAAATGCTCGAATCAAAGTTCTGTCGTCTATCAGTATTATGCGATTTGGCGGCAGCGGCTATTGTAGAACATGCCCCCTAGCTCCGTTTTATCGATATCATACCAATTTCCTAATATGTTATCTGGATTCTTTTCACTGCGTTCCTCATATCTGAACTATTCCTAGTCATTTCAGGCTCCTTACATCCGCGCCTATACCCGTTGAACATTTTCCGACTCCGGCCGACTACTGCAAACCTTCCTTTTTTTCTGGTCTCTGCAATGTCCTCTGACCAGTTTAATTCAAACGGACCCTGACCAGTCTCACTACCAAATTTTCCTCCGACCGGTCTGCAACATTATAACTCTTCAATCCTCTGACCGGTTGCCCCGGTACCCATCCCTGACCAGTATGCACCACTCCCTCTTTTGACCGGTCTGCGCTCAAACCGTTCACTGACCGGTCACGCTCCATCCGTCTTAGACAGGCCACACTCAATCCTTCCTCGACAGGTCGCGTTCTAAGCCTTCACTGACCGGTCGCGCCTCACTCTTCCTCCACAGATCCCGCTCAATGCATCAATGCAATACAATGCATCAATGCAATGCAATGCTCAATGCATCTTAGACAGGTCGCGCGCTGACCCTTCACTGGCCAATCTGCACGAATCCTCTGACCGGTCGCGCTCCGTCGTTCCTCAGCACATTCTGAAGGCCACGTCCCGTGCAGGGTGTCTGGGCTGACCGCCCGGGGCCACACTCCTGCCGCGCTGCGCGTGGTGAATGGACGAGCACCGGCCGCCCGGAACGGTGGCCGAGGTCGCCTCCAATTATCCGTCAGAGCCGGCCGGGCGACGGATGTGGGTGAGAGACCGCGTGTGAAACTCGACCACCGGAGGGGCCAGTGGCTGCACCTGGACGCATTGTCATTCATGCGGTCAATGTGAGAAAGATGAATGAGATAGTTTTGGGAGGAGAGAATATGCATTATACGGATATGTGTCATGTCGTGGCTCCTAAACGGTCAAACATTATGAGCTAAAACACGCACAAGACATGCATGGTGACACAATGTAATGACAAATGACAAATGGCAAATGACAATATGGTGTGAAATATAAAAGCGAAATCCGAGCTATGAGTACTGAGCAGTGTCTATTATATCACGGTACATTTGACAGTGCCTTGAAAGCGTTCAGCTGCAATAAATCACCGCCTGATTTCAGAGGCACGCTCTAAGCGGTAGCTGCACGAAATGATATGGCCCAGCGAGATATGGGAATAAAATACGCGTTAGGAGATGGACCTTGACTGTTGGAAAAGATGT